TTCGGGCATTTGGATCGCATCGGTGAAATGCCATGCTCGAGAGATGGCAGAAAGGTTTTATTTTTTTTTTTTTTTTGTTAAAGCGCTAAATTTTGTGTAGAATATAAAATAGATATGGAAATGTAATTAATACTTTCTAACTGCTTGTCTTTCATCTTTTCGTACGATGATCGATATTTATTAAATGTTACGATCATTTCGTACGTCGATATACTGTGGATTTGAGAGAGCATTTTTAAAAGCTTCATCAGTGCTAGATATCGTAATAGAAGCTGTTATCTGTAATAGAATAGGAATTGAATAAGATTGCGGAAGGAAAACGCGTGGGTAGGAAAAATGGGTAACGGGCGTGAACATCATCGACGCGGCGACGAGTTTGCATCGTCTAATAGGAAATCACGGTACATTGCCTCCGCTCGCCTGTGTCATTCATCTAGCCAGCTTGGCCTATTTCCCTATTTTCCACCCTTTTAGTTCCCGCTTTGTCTCCGCGCATCAGTTTTCGCGTTTCGTTGCCAGGAGTTCCATGCTTTATTGTCTACTTTACAGCTCTTTTTGGACCAGACTACTATTATATATATATATCCATAGCTAACACCGAAACCTCGGATAAGATCATCTTTCTGTTGCGTATATTTTAACAGAGCTACTGACGAATTGTCAAAACAAATTATAGTAGTTGTAACATAAAAAATTATAAAAAATTTAGAATTTAAAAAAGTTAAAAAAAAGTTACGGATTAAAAAGTTTCTTTTTCCTATAAAAATTGATGCATCTCAAGAATAGTTACAGAAATCAATTACGCAATATAAAGATTTAAAATCATGAAATCCCTAGAAAATTTAAAGTAGTTAAAAGATACGTTTCTAATTAATATTTAATTATTATTCGATTGGGATTGGTTGAATTATTTCGAATCTCACGGCTGGTGTCGTCAAGACCTGGCTAAAGCAATGATTCACACAGATAAAACAAAGAGTTTTCTCATAAAGTAAGTATGATATCTGGGTCGCGACATTAGAGCAACGATCGATCGGACTCGATGGAAATAATTCAATGATCGAACATTGTTCGGTTCACTTGGCTGTCTATAGCTTATATTACGAGCCGCTTCTCCGTTCAGCCATCGATTTATGTCTGTCTGCATCGTACATAAGAAAACGGTCGCGCTGTTCCATCGTCCAACAGACATTTTTAATCCATTTTTAATAAGTAATCCGGGTATCATTGTCTCGTCCATCTGTTCATCGTGAGCAGCTGTGATAAGTTTAGACTTGAACGATCGATGGCCCACGTATTATACTGTCTCTTCTTTAAAAGATCGAATCGAGACGATTGCTCGTGTGGCATCTTGTCATCTTGCAACGAGATCAGTAAGGAATTAATAACATTAAAAGTTCTACTTTCTTTTTAGTAAGAAAAGATAGCGAGATACTTAATCGTAATAAAAATATTTAATAAGACAGAAAGATAATGTGATATATTTGTTGACCCTTAACTATTTCTGTAGTATATCCTAGTTAGATTTTGTATGTTCAAGTTTTATAATAAATAGAGAAAAACAAAAGGTTTTTAAGGATGTAAATTTTAATATAATTTTATAAACATTTACTGCTCAACACAATTAGAGACTTTTTCTTTCTCTGTTTTCGCCCATAGTAACTACTCTCCTCTTATTTTGAACGTTTTATATTGACACATTTTCTAAAATTTATATAACTCTAAGGGGTTGCACATACGAGATTGATTAAAATTCTATGAAAATGTTTAAATTATCCATATGTAAAAATTCCATTGATAGGTGTACTTTTAATAGGTAGTACGATATGAATAATTATCCTCGGTCCAGTTGCGGTTTAATTATCGCCAATTAAATCTTGTCGTACCTGTCCGCTACAAAAGCAAATGCTTCATTAATTCATTCAGAACCAACGTTGCGTTAACATAATATTCACAATTTTTTTTCAGTCAGGTTGTATCAACGAATTTTGCCTTCTAACATCGTAATTATAAAAGAAAATCTCATTGATCTACTTAATATTCTTATCATCGTTATTTCTTCATTCGCCTAGTTTCTACGATCTTACGAAGTTCCAAGAAATTAGCAAATAAATTACCTAAATTACATAAAAATTCGGCCGATCTTGAAAGTGAGCAAAAGAACGGAAACTAATGGTGCAAGATTATAGCAGGTGGACTCGTCTATCGAGAGTAATAAAAGGCACGCGACGCGGCGTTACATAAAGGTTAGGTAACCGTTCAAAATTCACCAGGCGATGACTCAACGATGAGCCAACAGAAAAACTAATTCCGTTCCGAGATAACATTTCGGGCCGGGGAGATTAATCATCTTCGTGACATAAATCAGGTAAAATATATATTCGCGATGGTTCCATTGGCTATGACGGAGGAGGGATGAAAAGAGATGGAGACGAAAGAGGAAAGGTCGTCGTGGTGTTCGTCTTTTGCGAGCAGCGAGAGGAGAGAACGGACGAGCGAGCGCCAGTTATAATATATATAAGTGGTCTAGACAGGCCAGACGGATGCATCATCGCCATCATCGTCGAGCGAGAAAGCGAAACTCGAGTCGAGCCGTTTTGCTCCTGAACGTCTCGCGAGCTCGTCAATCGAGTAACGAGCGCTCATTTTACGCGCACGATAACGCGTCTGTCGCTCGATCATGATCCGTTCTCGTCTTTCCTCCGACGATCCTCCCTGTATACCTCCTTTTCGCGAATTTCTACTACCATCTTCGTCCTTTTCTTGCTTCCTTCGAGGAATCGAGTACGAGACACGTTGACGAGAATGGTACAAGCAGAAAATTTCCATAGTAGAAATTCTTGTCGTTAAATGTTGGCTAAAGTACCGCAAGAATGTGATATTTTTAATAGTTTGGGAAAGAGATCGTGTGAATTAAATATTTTTAGAATGTTTTCTGTATAAATAGCTGGGGAACAGGATGATGCGTTGAGGTTTCGATAGAGCGAGGATTCACAGTCCTATTCCCTTTTATATAAGATCGATGTTGCATATCTATTAGTAGAGTAGTAAATAAGTAACTGCTAAAAATCTTGGTGGTGAAATAGTCTATAAAGATAATTGCAACTAAAAATAATTACTACTCGCAGGGAACACCGTGCAACCCTTTTGATGCTCTTCCTTGATGATCGGTGAACTACAGTTGGAGAATCTGAATGGCGCTTTTATTTTCTTGGAAAGTTTAATCACCTAAGAAATTTCTGTACCATGTTGTAATTAACGATTTTGAAGAGTTGGTTACAAGTTTTTTTCTTATGTATCACGTTTACGTAAGTCTAATTTTACACCGATTGGAAATTAATTCAATGTATGCTTTGAAAAAATTGATCAGTAATTAAAGCGGTATTTTTGCGGTAAGAAAATCGTAAAAATCAATACAGCGACTGAGTATTAATCAAAGCCGTGTTAATTATTATATTTCATTATACCTTAGTTTACCGTTTCTTTAATGAGTTATTTCTGCGACTTGGTGAATTCCACGTAGGCGAAAGTAAGAACACTCGACTCTGTTAAAGCCTAAAAACCATTCGTCTGTATTGCATTTTGCAGCTGCTTCAAACTTATAAACGAGGTTCTTTTAAGTTACAGCGAGTAGGCAAAGAAACTTTATGAAATGGATCTTGAGATTTTCCGAGGCGCTTGATTTTCTGTGAAACGACTCCGAGATTCCTTGTAATTTCTAGTGGTTAATATTTAATAAGATAAATTCAATTCCCATCGTTCTACTAAACCTTTCCCTTTAGCGATTTTTAATTATTACTCCTTGATTCGCTTGTATAGTCGCTGTATAAATAGAAATCATAAATTCAATACAATTATACAAAAATTCTTATTATGTCTGTTTCATCAGATCAGTTTCCATTTCGAATACCAACCATTCTGAACCATCGTAAGAAATTTAACATGTCCCACTTTCTATCTAAAATTTTATCTATGTATATTCTCAATTAACAATTCGAAGCATTTAGAGCTAGTGACTACCGTAAGAAAATAAAATTTTATTTCTCAGAAAAATGTATGAAAATGTTTGTCCCGACTAGAGAGGCGATAGATGCTCCTTTTAATGAAACTGTATATATAGCAAATTTATCTTTATCTCTCTTGTTTATATTGTATCTCAAACTGACAAATTTTCCTCTGATACTTTTATCGTCTTTCTCTGGTCTTATTTTTCAATTTTATTATCATTTCATTCGTCTCCGGCTTTGAGGCACTTTTCTTAGATATTTTTATCTTCAGCCAGATCGGACTTTGTTTTCGTGCTGAAATCCTTTCGTCGTATTTTCTTTCTACGCTCTTTCCATTCTTTCATTTTCGTCTCTTTTCCTTTCAACCAAGTAAGTCAAGTGTCGACGAAGCTAGATAGGGCCTCATTTACAAGCCAGACGGGGGAGGCCACTTGCCCTAAATACGCGTCAAGAGAGGGTATTCTGCCCAGTGGTTGCGACTCGAAACTTAAAATAACCCTTCCCTCGATAACACCCGTCGCTGAATAATCTTTCGTTTCTCCGTTCTTCGATCTCGTTTCTTCTTTACATTTATACTACAGAGATGACGCGAATAAAGCATAGCAAACAATCTACAATTAAGTAAATAGTCAGTTGTGTTTGGTACTTAAATAAGTAGTAGAATTGACCTCTATAGTTTGATTAAATTTTACTTTCTTTCTAAACATTTTATGATACATATATCGTAGACGGAAATTCAATGAACGTGGTGATATTTTGCATCACATAGAAGCTGTCCTTGTATCTTTAATATTAAAAAAATAGCCAGCAACTACAGTTAAACTACGGTAAATAATCTATAGTATCCAACCGTAACGTCCGCTTGCTATAATTAAACGATAGGATAAGGAAGAAGAAAAAAATAAAAACGCATTTATGTAAAACAGCGTATGAAACATTATGTGGGAACAATTATCTGCTTATCTCGTATTCATTTATGTTGTTTGCTTGCAGGTACCTTTGACGAATAATCCGAGCAAAACCGGTCTCGGCGCGACCAGCGAATTTCCTACAATCGAGCTAGATTCTACGACGGAAAAGAAGCAGGCGCTGTGGCGAAAGACCCAGCAACGTTACAAAGAAATAACCGACCATGCGAAATAATTGCACCGTGAACGTTTGTCGGGAAAAACGCTTGATTTGCATTGCACGCGCTTTTTCATCGTCTGTCACGGTAAGCGAAGACAATTACGTTCGACCGTAAAAATTCTCATCACCGTCATGTGAAACACGGAATCCCGAAAAATTCTAACGCTCATTGCTAGACGATTTTTGAATCGTATATACATAGAAACAAAAATAGAAACAAAAATAGAAAATCGAGTGGAAAATAGAAACAAAAGTGTAAAGTATAAATAAGAATATGTTAAGTTGTTAATGTTACATATGAATTTCTCATACATCGATTTATAATTTTTCTCTAGTACGAATTACAAATATTTTTGTAATAAAGAATATTTCTCCTAATATGTTTGCGTGTGTTATGAGTTAGTGGTTATTGAAATATTATTAAAAATTGTCATGTTCCTGTTAGAATATGAGAAAATGATCTCAATTTAAGGATTAATATATATAACAAGAATTATCAATTGTATTGGTTTTTCTATTTATTGATATCCGCTCCGTTATTATTATATTTTTCTAATTAGACGACATATTTATTATTTCATATCTTCTAATCCTCTATCCTAATTTACTTTTTCATGATACTCCTTATTCTTCTCTTTTTGCAACAAATACGATAGCTACATGTATCTTATATTCCCGTATCTGAATCAACCCTTTTTCTTTTCACGAACAATTTTTATTCATGCAATTGTGCAATCATCGCTTGAGTTTTATTACATTGAAACTGGAAATCTCGTTACAACGATAAGGAAATTTCAAAGAGTTTCGTATACGATACATAATATATCTATTCTAAAAAAATTTCTATGCTAAATATCTGTATACTTTCGTAAGCCACTGTATGAACAATTTTAACGATTCAAAGTTTCCGTCAATCACACAACGGTCCTATTTTTTACCATCATTAAGCTGCTAATATCACCATGAAAAGTAACGAGGGAAACGATGGGGAACAGAGGAAATAATTGCATCTCGCATCGAAAACGCGTACGGATTCGTTGCAATTGAAGCAAAGAGAGTCTTAGACCGTTCATTTCATCCAAGACACGGTTCGTTTCTCTGGACACTCCGGTGCACCGGCGATATTTATAAAGCAAACTTCACGGTGCAAAGACCTCGGCGCAAGTGTACCGAGCCGAGCCGTAAGTTTAGGCCAAGCCCTTAACTCCTTCGGCACATCGTGCGGTTTTCATAATAAACTACTTCCAGCGACGCTCGATCTCCATTATTTTTACGGCGCGCCTCGTGGCCACGACGTTTGTCACGATTTCCAGGCGGTTCGCGACCGGAACCACGACGCTTGCAACTCCGTTTTCTGATCGGTCTATTAAAATTTCTGCATGATTTAAACGCGTTCCCTATACGTGTTTCTAACGGTTTTTTTTTTGTTACGAGTTTTGCCACGCGACACTTATTTCTTCGATATATTTGAATTAACATATTCGCGATCAATTTCACAAATAGTCGTCTACATGTAAATAAGGAAATGGTTAAGTTTCATTCATTTTTATTGTATCTTGTTATTTCTATGGAAATGGAAAGACTCGAGATTCAGATTCAGAAAATCGCATGGAATGCGATGTACAATAAGTTTTTACGTTTACTGTTTCAATTAATAGAAAATATTAGATGAACAGAAATTTTAATTATTAAATTGGACACGTATTGTATGTTTCCTTCTTATCCCAAATACGTGTTATTAAATATGATGAACTTTACGGTGCACTTATACACAGTTCTTTATAGTCTTCGATGAGAGACATTTGTCAAACAGTTTATGTTTCTACATGATTGTATTTAATAAGTTGAATTACTATCTGAAGTTAAGGAAAGTTCAACAGGAAGATCAGTGGAAGGTTCGGTAGAACAACGAGACTGCGGCTCTGTTGCGAAGACAGTAAGACGTCATTCGTTTTATGTTATTCACTTTGTGTCGCTCGTTTTGATCGTTTTGCGGTGCTATTGTTGTCTGCCTCCATCAGTAGACGGACATTCATATTCGTTAGAAGTATTTACGGTGACTCGTTTGATTTAAGTATATCGATGATTATTTTAACATTGTTTGACTTCATAAATTTTGTCTATTGCAGCATTTCTATTACTGTTCTATCGCCTTTCATCGATATATATCGTTATAAATCAGCTATTTTCTCTCTAAAATAAATACGAAGTGCTTACACCAGGAGAACTAAAACTTTGAAACTGATTGCAATTGTTACCCAACAAAAATCCAATGTTCGTTCCAAAACATGTTGCATATTTAATTATAAAGCCAAATGAAAGAACAGTTCTCTGCTATTAGATGCATTAAGTTTTAAAATTCAAGAAACGTACGACATTATTTTTCTCTCTATGATTTTCATCCATCGCGTGTCTCTGTTTCACGCAATTCAACAAAATGTTCATTTCTCCTCTTCTTCGAATTATACTCTCCTCTTCGACCGTAGCTTTATCTCGAATTAACGAACGCAACGTCATGTTGCGACCATTTTCACAGAGACGCTCGTAAACGGGTTCAACCATGAGCAGAGGGACGTCGTAAAACACGGAGACAAGTGGCAGGAAACATGGCGGTGACAAGCGAAGACAACGAATTAGTCTCTTTAATTATCGAACTCGACACGACTTCACGCTTATATTCGTCCTTTTTGCTAAAATAGTTTCCGCTAAGACACGGGACAGTTGGTTATCGATGGAGAGGATCAGCAGCCCGGATTAGGGGAGAACTTACGAGCACGTGAAAGTGCATCTTATACATCTTACGCGAGACATGCTTGTTCAGATTATTTCTTGCAGTCCACGTCGCTTTAGACTCTAAACAAAGAATGACAAGCATATGTGTTTCGCTAGTTGTGTATTCTTCGTTTTATTTCTCAGAAACTGCTCTTCAGCCCTCTAATTGCATCGTGCTTTTCTACGAGCTTTCATATGTTTTCTTGCACTGAAACGAGCCACGTGATTCCTTCGTGAGATTAGACGAGATACAAAGTGAACGTTGTTAACCCTTTTACGGTCCAAGTCGCATTCGATGTTTTATCCCAATTGATTCGTTCTCGATGAGTCACTTTTAATGTACTCGGATTTTCATGGATTCGTAAATAGCGATATCTGTGTTAGCGTATCAACAGGAATTTGTTAATTGCTCGATAGGGACGAAAAAGAAGAAATTTTTTAAATTATATTAGAATATCGAGTTGTTTGCTAGCGTTCGTTAGTCTGATATTTCTTGCAATATTCCCGATTTACGAGAGAAAATGAAACAAAGAATGATAGGTATATTTTGCCGATTAAATGAAATCTTAGTGGAACAAATGTTTCCTACATATATTGATAGTGGAAGATCAGCGATTCATTCAGAAGAGCATGGCAAAGAACCGCAAGGGGTTAATAGTCCTTCAGCTGGGTGTTTAAATAATTTACAGATATAGGACATGGTTGGTTCGATCGTTAGACTGGCAATTAGCGAGGAAGAATTCATTGCTGGCCTGGATAGCTCAATTGGTTAGATCGATCATTGGACCATAAAAGATCTCTGCTCGTGTCCTGCTTCGGTAAATCTAATCGGTCGATTCTATCCGTTTCTATAATTTTAAATAATGATTTTTCATTCCTACGATTCAATTATTAACGCCGAATATTTTTTCGGTGCTGCTTGGCTCTGGCGAAGTGTGTATATTAAAAATAGTATTTTTCAACATTAGACTAAGGTTGAAAGAAATTATCGATGGCCTGGATAGCTCAATTGGTTAAAACAGTCGATCGTTGAAGAAAGGTCCGGAGTCAAGTCTTGGTTGAACTGATTCAGCAAATCCAATCAGTTGATTCTTTCCCTGCTTACAATGTTCAAAGGTCTAAAGTCGAATTAATTCAGTTCATAATGGCGATTATCAAACCATAAAAATGATTGCAATTTCGTTTACAACATAGAAATATAGTTGGATACTTATATAGTAGTACTGATACGGTGTATTCGTGTTTCTACTTTCCTCCATTTAAATAGTTTTCCAATAACAGCAGTTCTTCGTATCACAAGTTTCTTATTATAAACTTGTATTAAATTTATGTTTAAATGTAACTTTACAGTCCTGTTTAATTTATGTTTAACAAATTTTAGAACGCGTTCTTTAAGTCAAATAAGTAAGCTTTTTATTCGTTTAATTAGAGTTTCAGTGGTTAGAAGGGGTTGTAATTAAGGAATCGAGTTTCTTCGAGTGAAGGCAAATCACCGTAATAATTAGATCTATGCAAGCAATAAGCACGAACTGTTTCGTGAAATGAAGTTCTATGGAAGACAGTTCGAGCAACTGGACTTGATCGTATTTCTCCTGGTCACACACATGTACACACTCGCCTTTTCCGGTTTTCTGGTTATTCAGTGATTCATGGTTGTGAATAAGGATATATGTTTCGAGCTTACGGCTATTAGGATGATTACATATGACAAGCAAAGAATCGAGTTTACCTAGAACTCATTTTTGATTTGAGAAAAAATGTATTTCATTAAAAAATATATCTACACGTTACCTTACGTTATATCAATATTTTATTTCACAAATAAGATTGGCATGGTAAAATAATAAAATTTCTGTAAATTATAATAATTATTTAAAATACTTACTCGTACTTATTTGATTTTTAAGATGTCTGTTCTTCCAACCCTGGAATATTATAGCTAGAATTTTCCTTATTTACGTATCTACTGTACGATTGCGCCATTTATCACATGATTTTAACGTATCTCGAACATATAAGCTTATTTTATATAAACTTCAAATAGCAGCTAATTATATGATTGTAAATTCAAAATTGATCCTCGATAGTTAATACAATTCGTACACTCTCTTGGAATACGTATCATACTGACACGTGTAAGCCTTAAATGCTTCGCATTTTTTAAAACTCAAAATATGCCGTGCTCTTTGAACTAAGAAGTCACTTAAAACCAATCAATTATTCCCAACATTGTAAATCCCGTGAACACCATGTAACCGCGGGACAGCAACGAGAACATCCGGACAACGACGGAAAATAGAGGAAGCACTGTCA